CCCCAAAACCCCAAAACCCCAAAACCCCAAAACCCCAAAACCCCTAATTATATTATAAATATTGATAAATATTAGAAACTCCGAAACTAATAAATGAAAGATAGTGAAGAGAGAGAAGAAGACCAAGACCCATTCCCAAAGGTTCCTCCGCAAGCAAGAATTGTTGATGTTTGGGAAGACAACTTTTATGAGGAGCTTGAAAAAATTATAGAATTATTGTCGATTTACAACAATGTAGCCATGGACACTGAATTTCCAGGATGCCCTGAAGTCCCTCCTTCAGTAACAGAGGATTTCGGATATCAGTTAGTAAAAGTCAATGTGGATAGATGCAAGCTAATTCAGCTGGGGATAACGCTGTTTGATGATAAAGGACAAACTCCACCAGGTCAATGCTGCTGGCAGTTCAATTTTAAATTTGACAAGAATACTGAAATATCAGCAGAGGCATCAATTAGAGTTCTTATAGATGCAGGAATCGACTTTGAAAAGCACCGGACAAGTGGAATTGATCACCTAAATTTTGCATATTATTTCATGACATCTGGGCTCGTACTAAACAATGATGTGAAGTGGATTTGCTTTCATGGGAGTCAAGATTTTGGTTACATGTATAGAGTTCTTGCAAATTGTCCATTACCAGAGTCAGAGGACTCTTTCTCTCATGAATTGAAGAAGTATTTCCCTGTTTTATATGACACAAAATTCATGAAACATGAAATTGAAGAATTAAGAGGAGGCTTGCAGAAAACTGGTGAAGTAATGAACCTTGACAGAATTGGAATTCAGCATCAAGCAGGTAGTGATAGCTGGCTGACTGGACTTGTCTTCTTTGATCTCTGAAACACTTATCTCAATGGACAGGATATAGAAAAAGAATACAATAATGTCATCTTTGGATTAGGAGTCAGTGAAAATGATGATGGATATCTGGAACATTACACAAGCAAATCAGAGGCGTTAGAAAGACAGCAAAGAGAAAGAGAAGAGCAAGCCGAGTATAATCAATTTGATCATTCCTCTTATTATGACATGGGGCACCACCAGCCTGATGGCTACCCAATGTACATGCAAGATTCTTATCAAGGAAATCATTATCATCCTCAGCCAATGATGTCTCAGAACCCGCCAATGAATTCAGGGAATTTCCACCCTTCAATGTCTCCGAACATTCCTCAGCATCCTTATGGAATCCCACAAAGCCCAGTTGATTACCAAGAAGATGATGGGAGTAAGCGATTACACTTCATTTCTAACTCCTCTCTAGACATGCAATATATGGGACAATATCAGATGACGAGACATCAATCAATTCCAGGGCAACCTGAAGAGTACCCTGCTTATGGAAATGGCTACTAATTGGATTAACATCCAATATATTTCTATTACTCCAAAACTTAAATCAATTTATATTCCCAGCCTCGGGGTTTTGGGGTTTTGGGGTTTTGGGGTTTTGGGGTTTTGGGG